TTTAAGACTTAAAGGATGTGGTCTTTAACTTTTACAACGACTGGATGATGAGAGAGGCATTTGAGAAGGTAGAACATGGAGTGATATTAATAGGAGTCTTATTAATAACACCAGACATGCTGATGAACTTATACATGACATGAAAAATATAAAAATGAGCAAAAATTACAGAATATGAAGGACACACACACACACACATTTTTATATATATATAGATTAAAATTATTTTATGTTTAAATTGCAATGAATTTCCATACAATATATTCAAATTATTATCTATATTAAAATTATTAAATACATTGTACATACAAGAATTTGTATGTGCAATGTATTTAAAATTTGATTTACAAAAATTTCTTACTATGTTACAGTAAGTAAAATGCTGCTGTTAGAAATATTTAATTAGTTTTTTTGATATGTTATTAATTTTGGTGATAATGTAATCATAGCAAACAATTATTAATATTGAATTTTTTTCCTTCGCTGATATATAAAATCAATATATAAATACCAAGCATTTAGTTTTGAAACATTCTCAGTTTGAGTTATATTTTGAAGCTTTAAAAAGTAATTGAATGTAATTTTTTTTTATTGGCTTGAAATATTTTTATTCTTATAAAATAATTTTATATATAGAATTAACTTCATATAATTTTAGCATAACTGATACATTCAAAAAAATTTACAAAACCTGGACACCATTAATATAACTTAAGCATACTTTTTCTCCTAGAATATTTTATTTAAATAATCAAATAGTTTTCACAATAAACACAACTATCCTATGATGAAGTTTACACTTTGTTATTAATTTTGTGAATGCTCAAAAATTTACCTTAACATTTAAGAAATTCAAATACAAATCTATTTTATAGGCAATCAAAATACAGTGAAATTTTGATATAATATATGTTTGCAGTTGACAATAAATGCTTGCAATATTTCAGCATATTTATGGCAACAAGTACTGTATTTAGTTTTTTCACAATATAAACTGGATAGTAAATTTTAGCAGATGTGCATTTTGAAACTTTAAAATGCATTGATAAGGTTTAAGAACAATTTGTTTAAATCCTATCAATAATTTATAGTATAACTATGTACTGTGAGATAGACTTTAATTGTATGTGTGTGTGTTCACACACAGAATTAAATCTCTATCTTCCAACAATAATAGAACATACAGTGTTTTCCTAGAAACTCTTTATTATTTTCATGTAACTTTAATGAAATTTTCTAATACATTTTATAGTAAGATATTAACAATTGTAGCATAAGTTTGGAGCAAATTTATTAATAAACAAAAAAGTTAGATATTATTAAAAATAGGATGTCCAACATTAATAGAACATTTACTGATTGAAATTAATTACAAAGAAAGTAATGATTGGAATTCATGAAATTTGCATAAAAAATACAATCAACAAGTGGAAAGAAAGATTTAGTAAATTGTATAGTACCTTACTATTAAAAATGGGATGTGGTAAAGACCTAACTGTATAGAAGATCAAAATTGATGTATTTTACCAGGAAGGGAGAAAAGTAACTTGGATAGCTAAAAAATTTGGGAAGACCTCATTCAATAAACTCAAAATATCTCAATAATAAAGAGCAACAAACAGAGAAATGAAACAGTGGGTGCAAGAGTTCGACAACACCTAGAGAATGACATGCAATTGTGAGAAGCCGGAGGTTAGAGAGTAAAGCTCTAAACCCCTTTGATTGGCATCGGGTTTGTAAAACCCATTCATGTGATCACTGGGTGGCTAGGATGGCTATCAGTTTAATGGGGAGGTTGCAGATAATTCAATTGAATGACCTGTTTGAACAATTGGAGTCAATGCCAGTTTAACTAAAAAATAACTTTAATAGGAAAATAAAGCAATGTATAATAACTAACTACAATTACAATTATATGTATAGCATATAGCACATGCATCTCTATACAATCCAATATCTATGGGATATATACTGCCTCTAAACTTAAGATTTAAGTCGACCAAGAGAGGGAGAGTTTACGTAAATCGGTTAATTATCATACCTCATTGTGGTAGTGGGTTGTTGTTTCTGAGGGGACTTCTCCATGGAGGACCAGGGAGATGTTTTGGAAGACACTTTCGCAATTCATAAAGTTAAATATATTCCCTGGGGACTGTGACTATGGCAGGACAACTCTGTGTTGTCGTCTTCTGGGTATTCTGCCCCAATGAATGGGTGTCTGACCATTATCTCCCTCTCTGGTGTGGGAATTTTGGTCCCATGACCTTCTGTTTGTAGTGATGACACCTTCAGTGTGTCATTGATGGGCCAGCTAGGGCAGTGGGAATCTGACTTGTTGTCAGACTCACTTCATGAAGTTGTTTAACTTTCAAAACTTTCTCACCTCTTTGAGAGGGGGAAGGAACTTGTTTTTCAAAGACTCCTCTTTTAAACTCATGACTTTTCACTGTTCATTGTTCGAAAATTCTCACTGCAAACTTTACTCACTCTAGGTCATTTAACTTATATTATTCAAAAATTCTCCAAAAATCCAGCAATTATCATACACATACGAAAAAATTCATGTATATACGTTACTTTTCATTGTTTACGGTAGTAAAGTTTCTTTTTGCTAGCATAAAAAATTTTTCCCAAAAAAGTATGTTAAAAATGACAGTTTGAATATTATTTATAATTTACAACTCAATCATAGATAACATTTTTTGATTATATATGTGACTAGCAGACCCCATTACACGTTGTTGTTGCTCAAAATGTATCTATTACAAATGTATAACACTTCTCCCGTGGAGGGAATTTTTTGAAAAATCCCTTCTTAGTGTACATTCTCTTGACATACTCTATTAAACACAATTAAAAATGCAAAAAACCGCATCTAAAATAGTATAATGGAAGCCAAGTTCTTCATGGTAAGCCTTAATCCTGTTCCTCTCCCCCGCGGGGGAATATTGAAAAATCCCTTTCTAGTGTATATTCTGTTGACGTACCCTATTAAAATGCAATCAAAAACGCAAAAAAACCGCATCTAAAATAGTATAAATAGAAGCAGAGTTCTTTATGGTAAGCCTTAATCCTGTCCATCTCCCCCCAGTGGGGGAATTTTGACACTTATATTGTATAAAAACACGTGTATATTCGAATGCAGCATTGTGTGAAAATTTCAAAGGAATAGGTAGGAACAAACGAACATTACATTTTTATTTATATAGATAGATAGATGATCTGCTTTAGTTCATCCTCACAGAAAAGCAAACTTAGGTCGTCGTACTCGTAGCGCCATCTGTTGGACATAAAAGCCTTAACCATAGATGATATCTTTTAATTTATATGAATATTTAACGGAATAATATACAACCTATGTCCACCCTGAAGTTCCATTCTAAATATTGGTGAAAGAATTTTTGAAATCGGATGAGTAGTTTCGGAGATTACCCGCTACATACAAACTTACAAACATTACCTCTTTATAATATTAGTATAGATTATCCATGAGTAATCCTGCACAAACAGCCATTTCGTTCTGTACATTTTGATTAAAACAAAGTCAAACAGTATTTTTACACGTAGAAATTTCTTGCTTCAAAAAAATTATAAATACTTAAAATAAAATAAAAATAAAATGCCATTTGGTATTAATATGTGAAATAAGTGTATAGAATGACCTACAGTAGTGTAGTACCATCTATAAATGGAATGTTTTATAAGAATCGTAAATTCTCAGATTGACGATAAATTGTGAAGTGATTTGTTTCATTAATAAACTACGTGATGATATATTGACAAATGATTGCAAAAGGGTTAACATGAATTTCTTAGTCAATTGTTTACTGTTAAACTAACACCTGCTTGTCTGTTTTCTAATTCCATGGGAAATGGATGGGAATAAAGAAAAGTTTCTAATAATGTGTCTTTTCATTAAAAATTATATAAAAAAGCTCCCAGATTCTCACACAATTGTTTGACGTGCGCTGCAAGGAAACACATCTGTTCAAAAAATCAAAAATGAATTTAAGCTGAGCTGCAGTAAATCAACAGTACATAATGTTTTGGGATCAACAGACAATGTTTCTTTCATCAAAATGAAGACAGGCAGCCAGCTCAAGGAGAAACAAACAACTACGATTACAGTTTTCCAGAAACAACTTTGAAAGAGGGGAAAGATGGCAAAAAGTAATTTTCTCAGATGAGAAAAAGTGGAATTTCAATGAATCTGATAGTTTTAAGTATTATTGGGCAGACAAAAGACTAGATCAAAAGCAGTACTCAAAGAGAGTAGCTGATGGTGGTACACTCATGTCTTCAG